TGTTCCATGTTAAAGATTAGTGTCACAGGTGCTCCAACCACCAGTTTTACATCTCTGGAAACCACCCGATCTCTGTTTGCGTTTGCTGTTTCGGCTTCCTCTAGTAGTGCTTGGATAGAGTCAGGTGGTATTTCTCTTTGACTTGCTAGCCGTTTGAGCTGCACGGTGTGCTTCGATGGAATTTGAACGACTGGAAAGGTACTAGACGCTAAGCTGTTCTGGTTAGCTGCGGCAACATCCGCATCTAAATAGGCGATGTGTTTAGCGGTTGAAACCCAGTCAGGCATCTCTGCTTTTTTCATGTATCTTGTGTTGAACAAGTCGACGTCTTCTGGTGTCGCGCACTTCGCCGCAGCCGACTAAGAGCTGCATACCATTCAGGGTCTGCCTTAGATCTGTTTTGATTCGTCAAGCAACATACGTATGGAATCGCCTCCCACGTTTCTCTTCCTAGCTGCTGTACTGAGTTGTGTATTTTCAAAGAGGGGGTCGACAGAGAGTATGGAATTACAGGGTCTAGTTGCGCTGAATCTCCTGTAAAGATAATATCACGACCTCCAAATGGCAATTGCCTGCATTTCGGCCAAATTTCCCGCATTCTCTGGTCAATCCAGTGTAGCATACCAAACGAAATAACGCCAAACTCATCTATTATGACAAGGTGAACATTTTGATATTTGTCCTGTAGCCTTTTTAGTGTAGTGGGCCCACCTTTGGCAGTAGCTAACGACTTGTATGGAGCAGAAAATGCATTGCGTGAAAATGATTTTAACTCTAACGCGGAACAAATCGTTTGACCCTCGATATTGAACGCAGTCGTTCCCTGGTGAGCTAAGAGGAGGACTCGTTTGGATCTTCGTCGAGAGATATATTGCTCATTAAACACGTTATGCAGATCTTTGACGATGTGTTTAATTAACCAACTCTTTCCAGAGCCTCCCTCTCCGTGAATGATCATTTGCAGAGGTAGACATTCACTGTTTTCTATGTGAGCCATAAATCGTTTGCGGGACTGCCTCATCGCCAGTCCAAACGGAACCCACTGTGACTCGTCCATAGTATCATTAACGGGGTTTTCATCGTCGTCACACACAGGGTACATGTAGTTATTGTGTTTTTGCTTTTTTCGATCAAAACATGTGATGCCACCTACTTCTCGTTGAAGTTTAAGCCAGGGTTTAACATATTATTTCACGAAGACACGAGCTCTTTCAATATCATCGGTGTATAATTGTATTTTGGTATCCACGTAACTTGGGTTGTCCTAACATGTTCTTCGCTAGTTAAGCTATTTGAGCTCTCGTGCGCTGTTACCTCAGGTTCGGGATCAACAAATACGTACTCGGGTGCCGGCAAACTATTCACGACACTACATTCCTTAGCATCTTTTAGAGTCTTTATATTTTGCTGTCGTAAAATAGCTAGCTCTGATTCCTCTCTAAGTTCGCTATTCAACGTTTTCTCTTGTTCGCTTGCAAAGAATTCAATGCATTCATCATCGCTCTGGGGGAGTTCTGACAGCGATCGCCAGGGTTTGTGTAAAAAAATCTCTGCAAAACAAAAGTGCGGGTTCGTTGTATCCGCAGATATCCACGAGTTCCGCGCACTACATGAGATGCCGAGCGTAGTTTAATGTACCCTTTTGCATCTATTCTTTTCCAATAGTTGGTGCCTGCGTTCGTCACTTTGACAGTATTCACTGGTTCGTAACTTTCGACAAATGTCGCTAGGGTCATCTCGTCGAAAAGGGAAACTCGTGGACGCGCCATATAAGCAGCTTCCGCTTTCTCTATTCGA